TGGATAGTTTTCTCACTGCTGTATCTCGCATGTCAAAACAAAGGAAACAACTTGATTAATTATCAAACTTAAGAAACCACTTAGCTTTACACCCTTTGTAGCTGGACTGAGAGAAACAAGTACTCAATTTGCTGTTCAACCATGTTCCCTTCAATACCTAAACAATGCTTGTTAAAGTCTATCAAATATCTGATATATTCTTTAGGCTATGTGAAATATTCCAGTGTTGGGATTGGGAAGGTTAACATACTTTGGAAATGTAATAGGTTACAGATTACAAGTTACCCTACTTAAATTGTAATAAGTAGCTAGTGTACACTATTTCAATTACTTTATTAAAGTAATGTAACTGATGTACATTTCCTACTTTTCTACATTTCTAAAGAAGGTTTTCAACTGTTAATCATTTTCAAACATTTAAACCAGGCAGGAGGATTAACCAGTAGCCTACTCACTGATTTACTGTCAGACTTTTAAAATCCTTCATCACTTGAATTAAGATTATAATAATTTAATTTTAAAGCACAGCCACCACAAAATCGGTTTTAGGCCTACTTTGAGATTGTTCTGAGCTTAAATACAGATTTCTGGATGAAATGATTTTTAAATTTCCAGCACTGGAACACATTTTTATCACTGGCCATGGTGGCAACTCTCAGACAGATTGTAGGCTACTGTAGCATAAAAGCTTTCAGAAGCAATATGGATTGATGTGATTGGCAGACGTGGTGCGCTGCAAATTCAAACAAGGGAGCCAATCAGAAGCATCAATCGCTTTAAGTAACGGTAAGTAAAAAAAGAAAAAAAAAGACAATGTCAGTCTGAATTAAACTAAGAATGAACTAAAGAAAAAGAAAAAAAGCATGCAACCTTATAAACATTATAAAGTCAGGCTGTTCTATTAAAGTTAGGCTAGGCTATTTATTCTCATATTGCATTCATACATTCTAAATAGGCTGATTGTAACGGCATGCTGATATTTAAGAAATATTAGTATCCTATCTCAAGTAACAAAATACTGAAAAATAAATGACAAATTCAATGAATTATTAATGTTTCAGCATCAATATTACTGCCTTTGTTCTACATTATTTTCCTGTCAGACAGCTCACATGTGGCAAACTAAATTGAAGCGGTCATAAACTGCATACACAATCTGGAGAAATGTGTTGTCCTGTTTTCCCTCTTTCACATTAAAGTAACAACAGGTAACTTTTCAACCTTCATAATATATTTCCAAGTCTCTTGTGATGGTACATCGACTTACAATAGGTTGAATGACACGTCTGCCATAGCCTGACGGGGTCTGTAGCGTTTTTAATCGTACTTTTAAACTTCGGGTTTCGGGTAGTAACCGGCGAACAAAGAGAACTACAAAATTCGACTGCTTTACGGCATATACGTCACTTCCACCACCACCCCCACTTCCTTAAAATCGGACTTGCGAGCCAAATGTTATAGTCATGGCCGAAGCAGCACAGAAAAACAAGAAAGCAAAGGTTTTATCGGAGCAAAGCAAAAAGAGAAAAAGAGAAAGTGATCGCGTTAAAGGCAGAACGAGGATCAACATTGCAGAGCTGCCAACTCACGCATTGGCCGTGAGACACCCGCATTTGATTGGTTTCACACGCTCACACGTACGCCACACCCCCGGTTTCTCACGCTAAATTGTCAACCCGGTCGGTCAAATCCCTGAAAGATGAGTTTATCTATAGATCTACCTGTTGAGCCACTCGTGATCGACAAGTTATACCGCAAATTAGTTCAAATCTCCCGGAATCTAGAGCGAGCGCGCACGCGAGACAGAGACTGTGCTCCAACGCGCGCGGACGGCAGAGAGAGAAAGCGAGCGAGAGACCTTGCGTGTGCAGGGAGCATCGAACCCCCCATCGAAAAAAGAATGCCTCTCTCTAACCTCTCTAATTCGCTAGAGTAGTAGCGAATTATCAATCTGGTAGCTAGTAAACGATATTCTAGTTTTTGATGGTTAGCTATCGCTAGTATTCTCGTTCTGATTTGAACTTTGCAATCGATGAAATGCAAATAGCAAATGTTTGACCTAAAAAGTGTAGTCTACTCAACATGTACAAAGAAAGGAGGAAGATTATTAATAAAATCATATTTTAGGATACCTAACATGTCTGTGATATGTGTTTATTTGTCTTGCCTCAAGCTATAATGCAAATCGATTTGTAAAATTTGCAGATTCATTTATGGTAGCTTGATATTATAATATTGACGATATATGGTTATTATCAACCACTCAAACATTGCATTGAAGTATCATATAGATCCAGTAAAACGGTAACCAATAGACTAGGCTACTATAATGACGCTGGCTTGTAAACGTGAGCATCGCGATCATTTGTCGTTAGAAAAAAAATAAAACCCATGAAATTATATTCATATGACATGCTGAAATATATGCCACTGTACCTGGGATGAAGACATTTCACACGCGACGCAAGCAGAACACCTGCATGTGACCTCCTCCTACAGTGTTCAGGGCTATCCTGGTTGTCAACAATTGCACGTGCATGTAGGATGACAGAGTTTACGACAGTAGTAGAGGACAATACTGTTTCCCAACTGTAGGGGGAGCCCGAGAGCAAAAAACGACCTGTTGTTACTTTAACACACTATCATTTATCAATGTGGGAACTCTCCTCTAGCTCTTTCTCAGAAGAAAGATGGAACACTCTGAAATGTTCTTCTCTCTCTCTCTCTCTCTCTCTCTCTCTCTCTCTCTCTCTCTCTCTCTCTCTCTCTCTCTCTCTCTCTCTCTCTCTCTCTCTCTCTCTCTCTCTCTCTCTCTCTCCTCTCTCTCTCTCTCTCTCCTCTCTCTCCTCTCTCTCTCTCTCCTCTCTCTCTCTCCTCTCTCTCGCTCTCTCTCTCTCTCTCTCTCTCTCTCTCTCTCTCTCTCCTCTCTCTCTCTCTCTCTCTCTCTCTCTCTCTCTCTCTACATCCACCCTAACTTTCTTCACACACATCTTATCTGTCCTTTCCTGGCTTGTTTTTCAGTTCCCAGAAAAGCACAACTGTTTTTTTTCTGTTGGATTGGTTCATAAATGTGACTCCATAAGAGGGGTTAGCCTATTTACCTTTCTTGGAAATCAGATTGCTGGAAGTGTTAAGGGTGTAAAGGTGACAGATTTCTCTGGCTGGTATGACTTTGAGTCTGGCCTCGGCTTGCAGGCTTTGCAATGACATTTCCCTCTTTGTTTGAGCGGTATCTGCATTATGTAAGCAGACGCTGAGATCACCCTTGAGACAAAGACACTGACATTTTCTTTTCAAACATTGGTGTTGGCTTTAGTAAAAAACTTATTAGTAACGTGGTCACACTTTTAAGATTAAGGTCCAGTTCTCACTATTAACTATAATTCTGCCTCGATGAACTCATAATTACTGCTTATTAACAGTTAGTTAAGTTTAGGTATTGGATTGGATCAAGGGATGTAGATATGGTCAGAACAATGCATTAATATGTGCTTTATAAGTACAAATAATCATCACTAGGAATGTCAATTATCAGAATATTCATAATTTTCAAATATATATATATATTTTTTGTTTAGTTTATTTAGTTTGACAGGGACATTGTACATTAATAAAACATTTCTGTAAATGTACCAGAATTAGCCAAAGGCTATTTTTCATCCGTAGTCCCTGGACAAGATGTTACAAGTCAACCTAAAGAAAAAATGATTAAGAATACATAATAGAATTACACAATACCATAAAAAGCTGTTTAAACAGTTTTGGATCAATTAAAACAATCAAGCAAATAGAAACAATAATAGGATGGCTAGCAGATATGAGATTCTAATGTTGACAAATCTGATTAACCACTTTTTCAATTGAACCCTAAATAAAGCATATGTGTCTAGATCTCTTATAGTTGTCGGAATACTATTCCATTCTTGTGCAGCTTTGACAGAAAAGGCAGACTGACTAAATTTACTTCGTCTAAGCGGTATGATGTCTTAATGCACCTCTTGTAAAGCGATAATCAGTTGTTCTAATACGAACTAACTGACCAAGAGGGGGAGAAGATAAACCATAAATAATTTTATACATCAGGCATATATTAGCATACTTAATCATGTTTTCCCAACTTAAGAGTTTATATTTTTCCAGTATTGGACAATGATGAGAATGTACCGATTTCTTATCAAAGACCTTAAGTGTACGTTTGTATAAGGTTTTAGAGTCACTGAACTCGCCTGAGACCAGGTGGTTAAACAGAAAGTCATGTGAGAAATAACCATAGAATTCATAAACATCTTAGCAGCTTCTAATGACATGTTATCTCTAGTAAGCCTAAAATGATATAGATTAAACTTAACCTGCTTACAAACCTTTTGTACGTGAGCTTTAAATGTAAGTTTAGAGTCAATCAGTATTCCCAGATATTTATATTGTGGCACTACCTGCAGCCTCATCCCTGACACGTAAACATCAGACTCCCTATTAATACTATTAGACTTAGATAAAAACATACATACTGTTTTGAACACATTTAGTTGCAAGCAGTTCTCTTTTAATGAAGCAGTTCAGTTTAAATGAACACTTAATCATAAAAAATAACATAAAACACTTGTATGAATTCAACAATTCTGTACCGTTTAAAAAATATTGGTATATTGGTACATATATTTAGTTCACTGTATTTAAGTGCATTTGTTTGTTATTATTAATAAATAATATATTATAATTTTTTAATATAAATTATGTCAATCAATATCAGCAGGTCAATTAATAATTTAAGTCGTTAAATATTGTACATCTCGTTCTATCTAATACCTTGACCAGTTTCTTATTTTTTTAGGACAAGTATTTCTATTTTCAATTATTTTTATAATTCACTGTTTTAATGCAAGTTTAGTATCAATTTGAGATTAATAATGTGAGTGCTGAACACAACTGTACAGAAATTTGTCAAAAATTTAAATATGAATGAAAGTCGAACATCAATCATTAAACGCAAACGCATCATAGATGGAAGCCATTCATGCTGTTTTAATACATTTAATAGTGCATTTTGACCATGATTAATCTGTACAGAAATAACATTAATAATAAAAAAGATAAACAACTTTCTCATTTCTGTAACTTAGAGTGTAACATTTACAATAAAATAAGATACATACAAAAACAAGATATGAGTGATATAAATACAGAGGCGTTTAAATTAACTGTCATTGTCATGCGTTATTCTCTGTTTGGCAGCATACGCTTAATTTACACACGTTTATGATACACCGCCGTGGACAGGCACGTAAGTAGTAATAAATCGAGACATCAAACCCAGGACCGTCCGTCATAAAGCGCCTCAATAGGAATACTGGACTCATCACGTCAGAAAGAACTGTGTTGGATGATTTCAGCACTCCTACTCTGATTCGCTGTGTGACCGCAGGCCTGGTTATATTTAAGTGTAAATGCAAGCATTGTTACAATTTTAGACTTTTACTTCATTTCTGGTTAACACTGACAAAAACAAACAGACATCACTTCTCCTCATACATTCTCTACCATTCTCTGACAAAGTTTCCGGCTTGGTAGCCCCTATAATCAAACCTGAACATCCAACCCAAACAAAAAACTTTTCCTATCCTTTCAGTTTTTTCGTAAGGCTCTTTTCCCAGGACTAGAGATGTTAAATGGCCAAGACTGTTGAGCTCACATGAATTTAATTGGTTTGCAGCAATGATCTCGACCAATCACAGGCCTCGAGGTGAGTAAACTGTATGTTCTTCTTTGGAGTCCTGTGTGGAATCCTGAAGAATTGGTCCATCGGTATATTGGTCTCAGCTTTGGTTTTGGTGCTGTTGGAACCTTCTTTTTCTCCATCACACATTTCCTGTCTTCCTTTCAAAGGTGTGCCAGCCACCACCTTCTGTCTTGTCTATAGACAAACATGTCATGTCCATCCATTCATCCATCCATCTGTCCATTCTCTATAAGGAAAGCACTGTACACAGCTTTGCAGATACTATGTAACAGTGATGCACACAGGAATAGGTATAAACACTGTTTTGCAGCGGGTGCCAGTGCATAGAATATGTCTCATTTGTCAATAATACACACACATAAACATCAGACACACTATTCATATGCTCACTTCCACAGTCATTCAAAAATACACACACACATACTTGCTTCTCAGAAGCAAAAGCACCTCCCATCTCATGTAGTCACCCTATGGCATATTCAGTAACAAGGTCAAGCGTTGTGACGTCAAGGATGATGATGTCATAGCAGCAGGAACGCCTATTTCCAGTCTTTCAGGCTTGTCATTTGATGGCAATCAAAATGGCAAGAACTTTGACCAATGTAGCTTGTTGATTTCGGCACAGTTGACAGTCCGTATCACCTAAGGGCTCAGATCGTGTGTTAAGGGAGTTTAAAATAATCTTCCTCTCTAATGCAAGAGTTTGTTGAGAGGTGAAATGAAACGTCAAAGTGCACACCAGGTGTGTGTGTGTGTGTGTGTGTGTGTGTGTGTGTGTGTGTGTTTATTTGTCCAGGCAGGTGAAGGAGTCTCGTATCCTCACCACCTCTGCAGCACACAGGTGACCATACAGCTTATTGTACCATTCAGGGCAACGACCCCTACAATCACAGAAAAAAAGAGTGATGAAGTCCTTTACACGTCATTGTATTTAATTAAAATATTTGAAATAAATATTGAATAAAAAAAATTACATAATTATTTTTATTAAAAATTATATTGTTTTATATTAAAACAAAATATTGAATTCAATAAAAATAAAAAGAATGTTACATATTATGTATTCATTTTAGTAGAGTTTAATAGTTTTTATTTTAATTAAATAATTACAATTATTATAAATAAATATCTCATTTGAAAATAAGATATATTTTCATTTCATTATATATATATATTTTTTCATTTCATTATATATATATATATATTTTTTTTATTTATTATTTCATTATATGTATATACATATATATATATTGTATTTGTGTGTATGTTTAATATTTAAATACAAATTAACATTTTATGAAAATAAAATAATTGGTACATAATGTATATACAATTTTATAATTTAAATATTTAATTTAAAAAATACACATTTTAATTTAAAATATAATAATTATTATAAATACATATTTCATTAAGAATAATAAATATTAGTATTATTAATATATAATATATATAATAAATACCTATAAAATAATTATCATTATCACTTTTTTAAATATTACATTTTATATTATAAAAAAATTGTTAGGATTCACACAAAATTCTACCTCATCCTAACAATTAATTAAAAATGGAATTAAAATATTAAATAAAAAAATATATACATTTGTTCTGAAAGACATTGAGGTTCCTTTCCTCACCTGTAGTCTATTCTGGAAATGTGTGTGAGACGGCTCTTGTTGGATCCGCAGGGTTCGATGTAATAGCGAGAGGTCAGAACGTTAGTACGAACACCCAGCGCCGCCGCACTCTCATGATCCACCGACACACACACCAAAGCACACACTCCCTTGGGCAAGTCTGTCACCCACGACCTGAAACATAAAAAAAAAAAAAAAAAAAACTCTAATTTCGGATTCTAATTTCAGTTATAATTGTAGCATGGAAAACGTTGTGTTTCTAATCACCTGAGCACCACGTGATCTCTTGGCGGATGGGGCGCCATGGAGTTCCTGACGTACTGATAGACTTCTGTGTTATGCTCTAGTGCCTCCACAGTCCTGCACTCTAACAGGTCCTCATCCCAGTGTTCTTGTTCCCGCAGAATCCGCTGTAACACGTCCTCAGCGGGCGCTGGCACGTCCACGCACACTTTCCACTGCCGTAAAGACGACCCGTCCTGAACCTGTCGTGAAAGATGATGCTATACGGTCATTAACAGTTCCAGCACAATACTTAACTTGTATGATATTACTCCTAATTGTGATTTCCTGGAATTCTATAGGTTGCTCAGAGGATTCTATACTGATTCATTGCGGGGGTGTCCAATCTCGCTCCTGGAGAGTCAATGTCCTGCAGAATTTATCTCCAACACACTTGCCTGGAAGTCTCTACTTATCCTGAAGAACTTGTTTAACTGGCTCAACATGTGTTTAATTAGGATTTGAGCTCAACTCTGTAGTTTAGTGGTCCTCCAGGAGCAGGTTTGGATACCCCTGCTTTATGGGTACATGAAATCATGTCCAAAGACAAGGGAACTAGGCTGAGGGAACTCTGTGATGAACACAAGTGTATTTTGGTTGGTGTGAAGTGCTAGAACAACCGGCAAACTGATGTCATGGTGGGCTCTAGGCCAAAACAGAGCTAGGAAAAGACACTTTCACATGAAAAAGGTGATGTAAGGGGGAAAAAAAGACAGCTTTTTCATTAGGCACAAGCAAGAAAATGAGCAAAGGAAGGAAGGGAGCTTGAACATGAAATGTGACTCGAAAAGGGTGTGTATTTATAAAGTTCCCCTACCTTCTTATATGCAAGTTCGGCGTTCTCTGGAGTCGAGCAGCTGTCATAACCTTTGAATTTGTCCTTGGCTTCTTTAAGCAGGGCATCAATACTGTCTTTGAGCAGACTTTGGTAGCTACAGGACCCACAGTCTTCCACCAACACCTCCATCCGCATGGGACTTAAGCCCTGCTCCACGTAAGAGTTCCTACAGCATGACATCTCTTCTGGGATCTGAAAGAAAAAGAAGGTATTAATAAACTAGCAATCCAGGCTTTTTCATGCCGGTCTAGGCTGGTTTGGTGCTGTTAGGCCAGCATAACCATAATCTAAATAACCACCAGCAAATCTGAGATCAGCATGATCTTTGTGATGAAACACATCATGCTAGTTAAGATAGTCAACGGCCCGATGTTGAAACCAGCACACCAGCAAACCATTTTAGGTTCCAGCTGACAAAAGACAACATATACAAGCTAGCGTTTTCAGCAGGGATGTATTATAGAGAACAAAATTAATTAAAAGAGGAACTCTTTTATGACTAGTTTATAACATGCAAATAAACATTAGCATTAACTTCACCTATGGGAGCAGCCAGCAGAGAGTCAACATCGTAAGCTCAATTTTACATAATGAAAAAATCATGATAATGTTTGTACAGTAAAAAAAAAAAAAAAAAAATTGGTGTAATTTTTTTTTAAACTAAGAAATAAATAAATGTCACAAACTCAATCACAAAGAAACGGCAAGTAACAGATTGAATTATATGTGAAATTTAACATTTTTCTTGTAAAACGTAACTATATTAATCTTTGTTTAATAAAACACTAAACAATAAATACAACTTTTTTCACAGTGTAGTATACTAGTTTTGTCAGTCTAAAATATGAAGGGAAGAGAAGTGACAAGAGTGATTAATTTATAACTGGAAGTGGCTCATCCTGTTTGTGTGTGTGTGTGTTGTCCAGCGTTCTGCCCTTATGAGTGAGTGTTTTTGTGCGTGTCCTGTCCTGCTCCCTGTCCTTTTCCTGCCTAACTGGTGATGTTTATTATTTCACGGTTCTTGTCCTTTTCCAGCATGTTGTTGAAATAAACTTGTTATCTGCGTACAGCAAAAAGCATTACGAGCGCGGCCAGACCTTCCTCATCAGATTTAGGGGCGGAAGACCTTTAATACAATATGCTATCTTTCTGTTACTCATTCTGAATTATTTGCTCTCTATAAATAGGCCCATTAAGAAGAAAATAGCTTTTTCTAATAGCCCGAAATTGAGTTATTTTCTTATGTAAATGGCTCCACATAATCAGCTTAACTTAATAATGGAGTTTGTTATGATCTGCTCAGGGAAAGCAGTGGCACATGGTTTAACAATTGTGCAAGTGTGTAGGTGAACATTACAAGACAATGCTGCTTTGTGGACTTCATTTCAGTCGGATGCAAAATTGAATTTCTTATGTTTTTCAACTTCTTCTGACTTTCATTATTTTAAACTTATCCAGTTAAGAACTTCCTTCCTGACCTCTAAATAGGCACTAAAAGGGAAAGTGTGTGTCTATGTATGTGTACATTACAAAAATATTTGCGACAAACCTGCTGTTTGCTATTTATTTACTTAAAGTTTTCTACAATTCCCGCACTGATCGAAAAACAACACTACTAGCTGTAGCCATGGCTGCTAATTCTGTAGGCATTTATGAGTGTTTGTATGGGCAAATTAGGAAGGATTGGTCATTGCATAACATCTGCATTAATCTTAACTTAAATAAATTCAGGGGTTTTTAGATGCTGTTTTGGTAGCAGATGTGTTGAAATGCTGTAGCGTGAGCGTCTGCACGTTAAACAACAGTGCATTTGTCTTTGTACCTGAGCAGCATATGACAGAGAGACACATCTGGTGCAGAGTGATAAGACCAACAGTTTTAAACTGTTACTGACACGGCTTTGACAACATTGATATGCGTGAGAGATTAAAGTTTTGTCTGCTTTTTTCTTAAAACATATGTGTTTGTGTGTTTCTGTTGGACAAAATGCACTCAGAGATAAAGTCATGCTCACCAGGAAGAGTTTTCTGCACTCCTGAATCATATGTGCTAAGCCATGTGTGGCCGCCAGGTTCTCGTTCAAGTCCCTTTGGTCTGGTTTTCCCAAGGTGTTCTTTCTGTTCATGACCCTGTGATAAGGAAAACACATTAAAAGGAATATCCGTGTAAAGTAAAAATGATGTTTGATGCGAGCACTTATCCAATCTGGGTGTGACGGCTAAAATTTAATGCTACATTTTTAAGTGCAGTGGGCATTCAAAGCCTTACGTAAGTCATCTCTCTTTTTTTAACCTATTCTTCCCTGGTTTCCTGTTTTTGTAGGGCGGTTTTTCAAGCGAGATGGAGTATAATTGCATGGTTTAAGGGTTTGAAGTAGTCGCAATACAAATATGCAGTTTGCAATTAAAAATTTGAGCAGATCTATGTGAAGTCTGTTAACAGGCTACACACACACACGCACCTGGGTGAGGAGCTCTCTCTCCGCAGTGTGTTGAGGTGGAAAAGAGAGGGTGCCAAACACACAGCCAGGTTAGTGCAGGTCATCTGGTTTTCACCCACGCTGGCTGTTACATCACTCAGGAAGCACAACAAAGTCTGAAGGGCCTCTCGGTTCTCGTCCGGTAAAAGCAACACGGCGGCCCTCACTGCCTGCAGACGCTGCTCTTTGGGTACGTCTGAAAACGACAGAGTTGTTTCATTAGTTTACTCTGAACACAGTGTATGATTGGTCGATCTGATCACAAGTGGAAGATGCTAAATACAGGCGTAAATGGAATGTTTTGAGATTGTCCACTTTCGACCACTTGCAGAGGTAGTCGAAAACGCATTCGACCGGATTACTTTTGTATTATAAACGCTCATGTGGTCGAATGTGTTCAAGCAGCGGCAAAACACCGTCTACTGACCTAATATGTTAACATTATGGGAAGCGTGCTAGCCAGACGAGATTTGTAGTCTGGAGACCCAAGTTTGGTTTTAAGACAAAAAAGCATACCAAGCACATTGCTCTCTGACCATTCCTGATTTCAAACACAAAGATCTGAAAAAGCCCATACAGTACATAGACCCTCCCCTTGAAGAAATCAGGACAGAAAGGGTTAAGAGTGGACAAAAGAGACGAATTAAAACACCAGGTTTTAATCTACTTGTGATCCGATCGACCACATTGCATCTTAATCATCAAAACGTCTCAGGTTACGACTGTAACCTTTGTTCCCTGAGAACAGGGAACGAGACACTGGATCTCAGCGGTATACATGGTCCTAAATGCAGCTGTGCGTGCCTTCGCCTCTCTGAACTTTCCAACCACCGCCTCCACGGAGGTGCCGAAAAGCTCAGAGGGTGAAAACGGCGAATCGAGGAGAAAGCATTTCTCTTTCTCCCCAATGTCGGCCAGGTTCAACCACAGATGTCTCTCCGTGGCCACTATCGCCATCATCGACCGGCCGATCGCGGCAGCAGTCTGTTTGGTGGCCCAGAGAGCTAGATCTGTGGTGTGGTGCAGCTCAGTAACCGCCTCAGGGGCCCCACCCCCTGGTCGAGATCCCCCAGCAGATCGGCCTGGTATACCTGCAACACCGCCATGGTGTGCAGGGCAGCACCGACCTGACCCACTGGCGTGTATGCTCTGCCATTCAAACTGGTAGGGTTGGAGCTCTCTTATAGTGTCGATGTCCGCTCTCCTAACGCCTCAACGGTGGATACGGGCAGAATATGGGTTCTTCCATGTCCTCTTGATCTCAATATGGAGATCAGGAAGAAATGAAAGGCTCACCTGAGCTGGTGGTTTATGACCGGGGAGAATCGATGGTGTTCGATAACACCAACCATGCTCAGCATACACGGGGCAGGGTGGCTGAGAAGATTCAGGATCTATCCGATTATCACCACCCTTGTCAACCATCTCCTGTTTGTCCGGAAGAGCACTCGCTGCTGGACTAAGTTCTCTTTTTTATAGAAAAACTTTCATCATACACCTGCAGCTCACCCTCGTCAGCCGCTGAATCGTCTGAGAGGATTACAGCCCTCTCCAGGCGATTGGCGAGCCCCATCTGGGAACCCCATAACGTCCGTCACCGCTTTGCTTTTGCTTTTTTTTCAGCATAAGCGGGACCTGAGCCGCAAGGTCCAGACGCCAGTTCCCCCGAGATCTGCCTGTCTGCGCTCTTCCTTCCCAGACAGAAAACGCACAATTAAGGTGTGTGTCACCCGGCGTCAAATATCTTGAGCACAGGTCTGCACACTTCTGAAAGCACTCAACCTTCTCAGTGCATTTCATAATTACCCGATTTTCAAGGGCTTACAGACAGAACAGTCCCTGAAGATGAAAAGGTGATTGTCATGTTTGCAAGGTGCCTTTTTATACTTCCAGGTTGCACGTTAATGAAGTCAGCGGCTGTTGCCGGTCAATGTGATTGCCGTGATTTAAGACACCTGTCACGCCTGAGGCGTTCCCCAAAGCGTCATTCGACGCAGTGCGAGTTCCCTTTCGAAAGGGAACTCATGGTAAACAAAGTCTAAAAAAAAGTATAACTAATGATATATTTTTTAATTGAATTCAAATATGTATTATATTTATATATTTAATATGTAATATTTGTATTTTAGAATCTTTATATCTTTATATTTTTCTTATTATTTTTAATATTTACATTTTTTTCCCCCACATTTTAATCTAAAAATAGCTAAATAGTTAATACAATCAATACACCCACAACACTATCCTTTTTCATTATGTCATTCAGAGAAGGAAGGAAGGAAGGGAGTTAGTCCTGATCTGGGAGGGGTGTTCAAACTTCAGAAATCAACAATATAAACCAACTGGACTGACAGAAGAATCTAGCCCATTCAAACCGCACAATCTCTATATTCAGCATATCTGCAATGTGTTGTAATATGCCACTGAAAAAAAAAGCGGCTTTTGAACAGCAAAGGACGGATTGATTGAACTGAAATGTCATGTATGGAATTGTGTGTGAGTGTCCGTCAGATGATGTCTGTTATTTCCACCCTTGGGAATGAAAGACCCTGTGTGAACACAAAACAGGCACACACAAACCCTTGCTTTTCTGTGTGGGATTGAGACCTCTCTTGTGGTTGGGGTCAGTTATAGTGTTTGAGAGGACATATTTGTGCTGGTTGTTTTCTTCGTAATTTTGGTTGGGGTAAAAGACCACTATAATCAAGCTATTTTCCTGAAAGACTGGAGTTATAATGCTGCTTATTGTGAGCCTGTCCAAGGAAGAACAATGTACTATAATAGTCACAGTATCAATATAATATCATGTTCTGTTCACTACAAATGGAATAATCACTGTGATTTTTTTGACACATGGCCGACAGACCTCTTAAATTACATTAGAGTAGTCTATAAAATTATATTATATTCTCGTTACATTTTCTAAATGGAACATTGTTTAATATAAAATGAAATAAATGAATGAAAAAAATATTTTGGCTCAAAACCAGACACAATTTCATATACTTGTACTTTGTAACAGACTAATTTATGGATGGTTTGCTGTACGTGTTTAGAATTGTTCCAAGATTCTCATATTTTTCTGCCGAGCACACACACATATTAGAGAGTTTGTGTGCTGTGAAATAGCTGTGGTAAGTACACACTAGACAGCTTGTGAGTTACAACTTGGTGCTGGCACTGAATCACATTCTGATTTATAGGTGCCAAAACGTCATTTGACAGCTATTTCCTGAACTTGTTTAGATTTCTTCACCCATCCAAGAACAAGCATCTACAGTATAGTACAGTCTTTGTGTAGTTGTGAGTTGCCCTCTGGATATGAAATCCCTTGTTCTTTTAATGTTTGAGTTCTTGTTTCAAAAAACAAGATATCAATGTTTGCGAGTACATTTTGTATAGGCATATGTCAGTGCAAGTGTGTGGTCTACAAAACAATGTAGAAAGTGAAAGTGAATTCTATGCATGTTCTTACATTGATATATTTGCAGAAAGGTATCAGACAGTTTGCTGGTAAGCAGAGGCTCCGGAAGGTCTCGGAAATACTGCTTTAGCATGTCAGCCACGTCATAAGCTGATTGGCCCTCGTAGTTGACTCCGCCCCCACCAGCACCACATGATTCGTTCATTTGGCGAAGGGCTTGGATACGTGACTTCACCCCTGATTTCCTAAACAACCCCACCTGTAAAGAAAGATGGTTAGACATTTAGTATAAATTGTCAAAAACACTTTGCAATTGCAATTACGCCCAATTATGTTTTGAAGTTGCTACTGAAATGCAAAATGTCTTTAAATGCAGGGGCTTCAACTTATCTTCCCTTATTCATTTGAATGCTCTCTTTCTTTTTCAAACTGACAGCTAAATAGATGGATTACCACTGTGACCGTGAGTTTCCCAAATGCAGGAAAGACATTTTTAGGAAAACTCCCTACCTCTTCTTACATAACCAAGTTATGAAGCCTGTAAATATCTAAAATTGTAACTATTATGTAACTTGCCAAGTAGTTCCTATCTGACACCAGAGAGAGAGAGAGAGAGAGAGAGAGAGAGAGAGAGAGAGAAAGAGAGAGAGAGAGAGTCCATAGATCACTTGCTTTCTCATAAACACCTTTGGAAAGGAATTTCAACCATGTGGCTAACTGTGGTAATATCTAACTAGTGGATATATGGAACCAGGACATTCAGGGATATTTTGCTACATGCAAACTTAGACTGAGAGTGTTGAACTCAAGTATGTGGTAAGAAAACAACAGATGTCCTGTGCTTAAATATGGCCTTGTTGCATGTAGGAACACAACAGGGGATATACAACTAAACAGCTGTTCAAATAGGGATCATTTAACTAGGTTATGACCTTGACCAGACATTATTTTTCTCTTTGCAGCTTATTAATAACAAATATTGAGACGGTTGTTTTTCTACAGAGGACTGAATATACCACAGAACAAACCAAAGTTGGGTATGCTATGACGTGTTTGTGAAATCTTCTGTAAGCTTTGAAACATATGTTTGGACATGTGCGTACTTGCATATGTGCACGTCTGTCATCTCTCACCTGGTCGAGGCATTGGCTCCGTAGGTAACGCATGGCTTGCTGAATACTCTGAGGCAGGGGTTGTCCGCTCCTTTGAACTATCACCTGCAGTGGAACACCAAACACACTCCTGTCTTTATAGTCTCGAACCTTGATCCGCTTCATAAACTTGGGAACAGCCCTGTAAAGCACACAAAGATGTATATATAAATACAAACTGACATTACAAACAGTGAAGTGCTGTTTTATCATTCTATACAGATACTTGTTTAAAAAAGAAGCTTATAACCAAGTACTCTTGCTGTTTTTACTCATTTACTCCCAACATTGCATAGTAGTAATTTAATGTCAAGTCATATCTCTGTAATAGTACATACATACTGAAAAAAAGGCAGATTTAAAACATTTTCATCAATAATACATAAATGTTCAGAGGCACACATGAGCAGCATGTGTCAACAGGGTGCTGGTTTGCAAGTGTATAAGTGTGTAGATAATTGTGTATTTAATGGGAAAACATCTAGGGGGGGTCATATGGGCACTAAAAGCTGTTTCCACCTTTACAGACAAAAGGATAAACACTGTGAGAGCAGACAATGGCTCTGAGGAGTAGAAGGGATATAATGGAACAAACACATGTGTGGACATCCATGTGGCAGGTTGTTTGTGTTTCCGACCGACAGTGTATTTGTCTGTGCATTTGTAAGTGTGCATGTCTCTTAGGTGCTGAATAGCAGGTTTCTCACTATCATGATGTATGGTGGTTTCACATACTGAAATATCTTATTTTATATGTGGTGATGTGCAAGTATGTGTAAATGAACACTAATAACAGGAACAGATAATTTACCGAACTGCAAAGCCACAGTAATGCCAAACCCCAATGAGCAAGGAAATCAGGGAAAGGGGAAAAGCAGAAAAGAGATAGATAGACAGACAGACAGGCAGGCAGGCAGGCAGGCAGGCAGGCAGGCAGGCAGGCAGGCAGGCAGACAGACAGACAGACAGACAGACAGACAGACAGACAGACAGACAGACAGACAGACAGACAGACAGACAGACAGATAGATAGATAGATAGATAGATAGATAGATAGATAGATAGATAGATAGATAGATAGATAGATAGATAGATAGATAGATAGATAGATAGATAGATAGATAGATAGATTTTGTGTATTTATGATGTGTATTCATATTTATCTGTGTCCTCACCAGCTGAAGCCATGCTTGTTGGTGGGTGTGTATCTCTCCAGTAGAGCAGTAAGTTTGAGCAGGCTGTATTTCTGGAGGAGGTTCATCTGCAAAACTGACTGACATCCAACTTGTAGCACTCTTGACGACAGACTTGGCCTGTGGGAGATCTGGAAACTTGGCCAGCGCAGTTTCTGAGGTCTGCAACATAAACATTCACACAAAAGTTACACCTAACCAAGCTCAAGCCATCACAAAATGTTCAAAACATAGACATTATAGACAAATATAAATTAGTGTTTATAAACTGCAGGTCATAAACCACACAGAATTTATTATGGTAACAAAACATTCACTCTCACAAGTACACCGAAAAAGTACCTTGACTTACACATATTGTGTATACACACATAAACACAAGCTAAAGGATCAGCTGCAGATAACAGATATTAATCAAGGCCTCTATCACCAGGTGGGGGGTAGAATTCCTGTGGTACATTCCACTAGGATTCTGTATCTTTCAAGTCACTTGTTATGTAAGGAGAGCCGTTCTGACATGCTCTCTCCCTCCCTTTCCCTTAATTCAGCAAGCTTTATTGCCATGATAGTTTTCCATAGAGTTTTGCCAAAGCTCTAAATTACTACAGGAATGGTTTTGGTAGAACTGCCAATAAGAAAACGTAAGAAATCCCTGTCTCATAGATTACTCAGTGTGTGTAAGAGTTTCACCTGTTGGTTCGTGTAAGTGATGCTCCCACACCAGAGTCACATCTTTCACGCGAGCTGAGTGTCTCATCCCTTTCTGCTAGCGGGTTTCCAGTGCTGTCCTGGTCACTTCCATTCTCTGTCTCTTCTAAGTGGTTCTGCAGTGGGGATGATGGACAAGGAGATGCAGAATCAAGGGCTGAATCTGAATCCCCTTCCTCTTCCTCTTCATCCTCCTCTTCTTCCCCAGTTCCTGTTTCTGACCAGGCATTGACCAGTTGCTGCAGGCCACTGACTCGCTCCAACACGTCCTCAAGTTTTGGCTCATCCTCTCCTTCTGCTTCGTCTTCATCATCTCCCACTTCTGAGAAAGGAACATTATCATAGACACTCAATCGACTGTCTAGTGAGGTGGCAGAGCCCCTCCGGGGTGGGCGCCGACTTAAGTTGTTGTCGCCACTACGATAGGATCCTCCATCCGCAAGTGCTTTAGGAAAAGTGCCAGGCTTGTGGCCTTCAGGCAAATAAAAGAAGATTACACCTCCTTCCTCTTCTCGACTCTCTTCTTCCTCCGTCTGTCTATTATCTGAACTCTGACGGTTGCGTCGATTGTTCTCGGCAGTTGAGCTGGGCTCCATCCTCTTACTTTGGGTCTGGTGGTTCTGCTTTCCTTCTTGGTCTAGCGAAGGTTTCAGCACAACGAAATTAAATGGGTCGAAGCCTTCCAGATACATACCACCTCTCTTGGTGGACCCAGCTGCTGTGCTGTGACTACGTGCTCTTGAGACCGGACTGGGCGTACTTACAGCGCTCCCACTGCTGGCCTCTGACTGGCTACTCCCTGCACTCCCACTGCTTGTCTGCGTTGAATAGGAGATGTTTCGGTTTGCATTGCGATCCAGAGTTGCAATGTCTACACAGTTGAGGCGTCGCAGTTTGTCTTCGTCAAGACCCTCTTTCGGCACTGGCCCACTGATCTCAAGCCTGCCTTGCCCAGCTACAGCTTTCTTCTTGCGCTTGGAGGCTGCATTGCTGCTGGTGCGTAGCCGCAAGCTTTCCATGCGCTTCAAGAAGCTCTTTGCTCTTGAACGTGTGCTTTTTTCAGCGCCACCACCTATCAAGCTTGGTTTTAGATCAAATGGAAAGCTGCCGCGTTCCAGCGGCGATGGAAGCCCATCAGACAGGGAGTCTTCATTGGCACCCGACGTTCCAGAGGAGCAAACGCTAGCAACTGAGCTCGCCCTGGTTGTGGTGGCTGTGTTAACATTGGAGATGGTTGTTGCAGGACTGGATGGTACGGTGGTACTCAGGGACCCACCTCGACCTCCACTACCAGCGCTGTGCAGAGAACCCACCTCTGGCTGCTCACTAAGATCCGTCAAAATGCTCTCAGCACTAGCATTAACTCCCTCCTTTAGAAGGGGTCCTCTGGCAAAACGCTCATCTTGGGAAAGGAAGGGAGTGAAGGGGCCAGTATCTCCAGCTGGAGGGGAGAATACATCCAGGTCCAGCTGGTCCAGACGGGACCAACGCTTGCTGTCACGCTGGAAAGTCCAACGGCCACTTATGGCACATGGCTCATCCTCATCAGAGTCCTCACTCTGAAATAATATGGAAGAGAGTTAAAGCGACAGATTAAAATCATTAACATTAATGACATTATGGTTATTGTCACATTTGTAAAAGTAAAGACAAGTACTATGAACCTAAATCAGAGACCCTTTCTAACTGCAGGAAGTGATTTAGTTTCACAATTGTCTCACTTATTCCCTTAATTCTTTTGAGGTATAATTTTGCTCACTCTAACAAGCCTCTTGGGCTTGATAAGGTGTCATATGCATGAAAGCAGTGTCCACTAAAGGAAAAAGATTGTATTGTGGTTGGCTTAGTCATGTCAGAGCACAGTCACATGTTCACCATTCCCCCACTCTGCTTTACTCGGGTTAATCTATCTCCTCCCTAAGGGTGGTAGGGATGGAAGAAAGGGGGTGGTGGACACAAAATTCCAGGCCAGCTCTCAGGGTTCACACCCCAGCCTGAGAGGGCATGTCTGGTCCCATCCCCCATCAATGCAATCCCTTCAAGCAAGCCTGAAGAACCATGTATCCTGTGATGTGAATCTTGGACTAAGGGGTTGGATGGGAGGTGAAAATATTTTAGAGCTACATGTATGTGTCCTGCAATGCAAGATCTCTACCATCTATCAACCTGTTAAAATAGTCTTAAATAATTATGACATTTCCAAGAGAGATTAAGGAGTTAATTTAGTGGATTCTGGAAAATAGAACTAGTTGATAAGTTAACATCCCTAGTTGAGTTAGTGGATATCAGCTTAGCTGTAGAACAGACTTGCTGTAGATCAGACTAGAACAGTCCTGGAGCCCTAACTAATCAGCAAAAGCAAAACTAGTTGGCCGGTTAACAGGGGGTCGCGGGATCCAGAGGTGTCTCCTTCACAGTTCATAATAACGGAGGCAACGAAAGTTCGTAAAACTTGGGTTGTTATTTTATAGCCCCCGAGGGCAAGCCTTTGATCAGAAGGAACGAAGACCTGGTGTGCAACGTTCCTTCACTGGCCACCAGAAAATCAATTAATTCAAAAAGACTGTTTTAACTTTAAAATAAGCTGCATGGACAGGAAGATGAGGAACAGAGGAGAACCCTACAGAGGCCACCTGAACAGATCAATGCATTCCAGGGATGGTTTCTGCTTGTATGTTTGAAAAGGGCAGATCACTTCCTCAAGTCATCTTCTGACCTCTACCTCTGACTCCATCAACACAAGATGACACTAAAGGGTCATCAGCTTTCTTAACAGGACGCACACTTGACAAGGCTGCCATTGTTCAGACTTACAAATGTTAAGAGCAGAAAAAGAAGCTGCAGTCAGACATGACGGTTATCTTCCTAAGCTCCCTGTTGTGATTACATAGTTGGATTGTTTGTTGTTGCATTCTCGACCTGCGTGTAGTTTGAGTCATTGCTTTGGGGCAGTCTTAGACTATACACGCTCACTCTTAAACCACACTGACAGAGTGACCAACAACCGAAGGCAGATTGTGCATTTTCTTCCTTTTATGGTATGGAGGGGGGTTTTAGGATGTATGGTGAGAAAAACATGACAAACAGGAGCAAAGGAAATCATAAGGAGATGAGCTAACACAAGCCATTAATTTGGACATAAAAGCCACTCAGACTCCCCTTGAGACCTTCTTTATAATTAACTGACACAGAAAGCAAACATGAGTTACATACATTTAGGATCTTTGACTGGACAAAAGAAAGTAAGACGGTAGCAAGTGAAACGATTTAACAAAATAAAGAGAAAGGGATTTTTGACAAGACACTTACTCTCTTTCTTTGAGGGGTGATCTCTAATCTCATAAGAGCGCACTTGTTTAGGGTGTTCAGTCTCCTGCAATACACACACACACACACACATACAGATAAATGAGTGAAACTGTGACAGTCTTTTAAGCAGATACCTTGAAAAGAACCATGGGGTTGCAAACAAAGGCTAAATCCAGTCATTAGCCTACAAACAGATTTTGCCAGAGTCAAAACCATGGACAGAGACAGAAAGAGAGGAGGGGGCAGAGAGGGGTGAGCAAGAGATAGAGATACGGACTGAGATAGAAAAACATGAGAAGAGGATGAGAGAGGTGGGAGCCAAGCCCGATAATGAGCTGCTGAGGGATAAACTTCAGATTAAGGAGGAAGACAGACGGACAGAGAATTAAAAAGGAAGAAAGAAATCTGGAGTGGCGACAACAATACAACAAAAGAGATGGAAAGCTTATCCCAGAAGCCACCTGGTTGGTGTCATGTGACCCTGAGTTAGGGGGGAATGTGTGTTTGTCTGCATTGGGGGGCTGGCACCAGAAAATGGCCTCCAGATGTCTGTGAGCTCCAGCTGGTCTCTGATGGACCACTCTTGGAGTGAAGACACTAAGTCCTGCACTTTCTCTTTCTTTCTTTAAATTATTCTAAGATCGATGAGTCAGTTTATATATAGAACTGAACTCTGCAAATGATAAAAATCAGCTCATTATTAAAGCAAGTAAGAAAACCATGTTTAAAAACTATTTTTGTCTAGATTAAAATGAAAATGTTTAAATTTTTTCTAGTCTTAACATTGTATCATAAAAAGTTTTAGAGCCATACTCTAGGGGGGGGGGGGGGGGGGGGGAGGCCTGTGCCTATAAATGAGCTAAATATGACAAAATAATCACTTTGGGTAAATGTGTGTCTCACCTGCACAAGGCTTCTATAGCATCTTGATCCAAGAAGTCATGATCTCTGGTAACTGATGAAATCTCAATCGGAAACCGACCATCTGAAAGAGAAAGAGAAAACAGAAATGAAACAAAAATACATTTAATATAAAAAGGATGGAGACCCAATCAACAGACTGAAGTGTATGTGTGTAAGGGGGGTGTTGGCAGCAAGTGGAATGTGTGCCTGCCCTCTATCCCACACACACACACACACACACACACACAAACCTCCCCTCCTCCGGTGTTGAAAAGGTAGAGGAAGTACATCTTAGCCAGCCAAACAAACACAGCTGCAATACTGCAGCGCTCAACAGTGGGAGGTGTGTGTGTGTGTGTAGGAAGGGGGTATTGGAATCCCAATAGGTGCTCAGCAACCCTCAGAAATCCAAGACTGTCACTAAGTTTTTAATAATCATTAATTAGAATTCTTTGGGAAACTTTACAACTTTTCAAGACCAAACAGCTGGTATGTACGTGAGTCTGTACGAGTGAGAAAGTGATCCCATATAATTATTTTATTGTCTTCCTGAAGACCTTTTCCTTACTGTACTGGCTCTCTTATCTATAGTGGGGCAATCATGACAGTTGGTCACACAATTCAGATTTCTGAAACCGATAACATGCCTCTCTCATGGCACAATGGCAGGAGTCAGTAGGTCAAAAGTGTGCGATGTTTGACACCTGAGGTGTGGCGTTATCTGATATACTGTGTGTATGTTCCTGTATGAGTTGTATATGACAGTGGTTTTCATTAATACATTTTTTTTTTTTTTTTTTTTTTTGACCAAGAATATTTTTGAGTGCTGTGAAGTCAACGGTAAATTGTGATGTTGATTACAGATGTTGTGATGTTCAATTTTACAGAGTGAAAATTGCCATTTAAAGAAGAATATTATGACGATTAAGACATCCCTGGACCTATTTAGCCTTTTGCCACTTTATTGGGAGGACGAAGATGGGGGAACTGGAATGGGAAATGGCTTGATGAGCAATGCATGACAAATGCATGCTAACAAGGCATAACTGGCCACTGTAACGCAATGTCCTTTGGTCAGGAATGGGTGATGTTGGAAAGTCAAGGGTCCCACCTTCATAAAGCTGAGCATACTGTGGAAAACCTGCAGCCCTCAGCCATGTACATGCCTCCTTCGCCTCTATTTCTGTAAGAGAGATAAAGAGAGAGAGAGATTGACATTTAAAATTCATGAAAACATTAAGCAGAAACATAATGAAGATGCATTAATATCCAAATCTTTTGAAAGGAAAGACTCTCGCTGAGTGCTGGTTATCTTGACTTTTCAACTTGGCGCTATAGTGTAATGTTTGAGACAGCACTGCTAATTGGTCGTCCAAAGCAGTCAGAACTGTTGTTGAGGCGGCGGAGAAGTGCCACATCCCTGTCCATTACTGTGAACGGCCCTTTAGATGCCACATGCCAAATGGCAAACACCACTGAAAGCACCTTGACTCCTTCTGGAGGCCTGTTTCACACAGTGAGGTGTCAGAATAAGAGGTTTAACTGCGATTCTGTCACTAGAGACGATATTTTTCCTAGCAACACTCGCACCAGGTATACAATTACAAAACCAGTGTTTGAAAGCTCGTCAACAGTCCCAGAAAGTTAATGTCAAGTTTTTGTGTGTGTGTGTGTTTATCGGACTATGTGATGGTGAATGGGGAGATAAGGATCTCAAAGATTGCTGAACTGAACTCAAGCAGGCATGACGCAGGAACTGGCGAGTAACTGAGATCGCAATCATTCCTGATAACCATTGTGCCCTTGAGCAAGGCACTTAACCTCAGGTTGCTCCAGGGGGATTATCACTGTGGTTAATGGACTTTTTTTGGAGAAAAAAAAAAGCTTCTAAACTCTTTTTATTTGTGTAAAAGTTCTACATAGACCTCTACACAGACATAGTTCTACTTTAGCGCCCTCTAAAGGTTTAACACAGCTAATGCGTCTCTCTGCTGGCCATGCTGTGGTCTATCACAAGCACAATCTACACAATCACAGCTCACAATAGGTCGTAATCAGCAGAGAGGGACCTCTCGCTTTTCTCGACGGCTAATTGCGCACATTCCAGATTCTACAATTCCAATTATTGTAATTGCAATGACTGCAATGATGCTGTGCAAAATTGAAAGACCACCTGAGATAGGTTCCCCTTCATTTCAACAGAAAGAAAAAAAGGCCAGGGATTAGGAGGGGCCAAGGGAAAGAGACGTGAGAGAAAGACGTGTGTATAAAGACACTGCAGACTTTGCCTAGAGGAAAGAACACAGACTCTGTCTCTACTAGCGGGGATACGTGACTCCCCACTCGAACGAGCGCGAGAGTGACGGCACGCATGACAACAACAAAGGCACGCGATAAGGGAGGTCCTCTGCCGGCGGAGAGAGAAGAATCAAACAGGAGAGAGGAGTATTTCAAAACGTGCTTTGACATCAAGAATGGCAATGCGAAAATAACTGCACACATGCAACTGAATCTCGAATCTCAAGAATCCACATGCACATGGTGGGGTACCTTTCAAGCAACTGACAGAATGTTGCCCGAAAGCGCTTTTTAGGAGTTCGTGAACTTTGAAGAATTTCCTACACTTAAAATAATGACATACTTTTCTGGTATGGTCTGTAATGAGCGCCGTGGCTTCCTGTGTAAGTGTGTGTGTATAGATATGTGTGTGTTTGCACTGGCTAGGCACCACTTAATACCATCCAGCTGCAAGAATGTTAGAGGACTGTATGCATTTAAATGTAAATGATGAAGAGACACACAAACACACACAGGCTCCACAGCAGTGTCTCACAGACTGGCTTTTCCTTTCATTAGCAAGGTAACCTCCCCCCAACCCCCGCCTGGTCACAATGGGCCGCTATCACACAGGTGCCTGTCTGACACCAACGGTAAATAAGGCTTTCTTAACTGAGACGGCATCACAAAAAAACATGCAGAGACATATGAGATTACTGGGGTCTTTTCTCAGGAGAACTGTCTAAGACAGTGTTTCCCATCCATGTCCCTGAAGGCATCCCAACACTACACATTTTCAAACTCTTTCTACTCAAACACATCTGAATCAACTTATCAGCTCATTAGTAGAGACTCCAAGACCTGAAATGGATAGGACAGATAGGGGAAACATCCAAAATGTGTTCTGTTGCAGTCCCTCCAGGAACAGGGTTGGAAACACTGGTCCAAAGTTATAGTAACATTTAACATTGCTCAGCGAAATTGTGTGGGAAAAGTCAAGTCAATCCCATTGGATTCCATATGATCAGGAGCTTCGCCTGAGGGTGAAAACAGTTCACCACACAGACATTGCTTGTGTATAAGATGATCAGTTGAATTCACTGCGTTCACCAACAGAAAGCTGCATGGTTTGAAAGTGACTTCTGTGTGAGCAGTGCTTTATACATCTTTACATACTGCCAGTGGACAGTACATTTTTTTGCCTGCGAAATTCTGCAGACATTTCGCTAATGTGACTGCACCTTATGAAAAGGGAAACATAACTCTTTGTTTAATCTATATAAAAACAATTGAGATATTAAAGAGATATGATTTGAGACTTTTCTTTCCTATGGGTAAACTCACTAAGCGCAGTACAGGAGACATTCATCACATCTGTACATCCAAAACACACTCAAACATGCTGTCTTTATGAAGATATACAAGTATAAACACACTTGAGAAGTTGTTTCACACTCTCTCACACTAATGGATGTCACGTAGATGAGCACAGGCTGTTGACACACTGTTTTTTCGCCATCTCAGCACTCAAAACAGTACACACATCCACTCTTAATTTTCGAATATGGGATGCAAGCTTAGAGTTTTTTTGTTTGTGTACGCACGTCGCATCCTGTGCTCTCCCCGCAAGTCTGTGCGGATCCCCACGCCAGGCGGCGACCACACTTCCCTTGCCTTTCCGAGGCCGACGGGAAGCCAATAAGAGTGGCTCATTCCACAGTTGCCATGGTCACTTTGGAGGACACACCTCCTTTTGTTCAAGGCCAGATAATGGAGGCCTTCAGCGCCAACACAAACACAGAGAACGCCTTACATCCTGTAACACACACATGGAATGTCGAACGTTCGACCTCAGAGAAAATGAGAAATAGGTTCCTCCCCGGTAACGTAAACAGCCTTTGATTCTTTCTTGATTGTAAAGTAGATGCATTTATATCTAAAGGAAACTATATTTCAGATACAAACACATCAGATTGAGCAACTGAACTAACATTGTGTTGAGAGCCAGACTGACGTCAGTATTACTTCATAGAGTTGGATGTTCTAAAATTTTTTCCTCTTAACATGACGCACAGTATTCCTAGCCAAGAAAAATAAATTAAATAAATCCCAGAAGGTCTACATGTCATTATTTCATAGATGTGAAGTGTTATGCAGGTTATGGGTCACTTTAATTGGTTTAGCAACAGTTTAATAACATATAAATAGTGATGATGGAAAAAAATGACATAATCAGGAATCCAAGTTAAAGTAGCCTAGTGGTTGACCGTTCAGGAGTAGCTTATGGTCAAATCTAGAACTCATGAAGGGTGATGGTCGATATAATGCTGATATATAAAATTTCTATAAAATAGAAATTTCATGAATTGACATGAACACTTATCTTACACACAATATTTACTGGAGTAAAAGAATATAATCCATTAAAAACGCTGTTGGAAGATTATGGTAGAACAAAAATCTTGCTGAATTGGATGCTTGTTCCTTCCCATAATTTTCTCTGAAAACCATGTTCTTTCATCAAATAGTTTTGATTTAGTGTTTCAAAACAGTGCAGATAAAAGGGATCCAACAGTCAACACCGCCATCTCCCATCTCTTTTCCTCTCTCTTCATCAGCCTTAATCTATAATCCATCTGTTTCATATCTTGGTGCCAGCCACCTAGTGGATGCATGACCTGCGACCTCTTCAACGCCACGGTGACCAATTCAAGCACACAGGATGTCTAGGCGGGATCCGTCACAGAAGCGTGTGCCTTTGTGCATTCTCCTCTCATCAAAGCATACAATATTCCCTCCACCTAATGCTTCCGTTTTTATCTAATGAATGAAAGTTTTGATATATGTTGATGAGAGAGGAGGAAAAAAGAGACAGACAAGACTGGAGACAAAGAAGCAAACTACAGCCTCCAGACCCAGAGAAAGACAGACAGACGTAATCTCTTGGGATAACGTCCTATGAACCCGGCTAAAGTTGAATTCCTGCTAGCTGGACCTTTTTTTGCCGCTTCTAAAATTACCCTTCCTCCTCCCTTTCTTCTTCCTCCTCTCTTCTCTCTCCTCCTCGTCCTCTTTTTCCTGTCACAGGAAGTTCTCACAATCGCTGGCCGATGGTTCCTCAGCATGAGAGGGAGGAGGTGTAACCTGTGTGTATGAATGCTTGTGTGCTTAAGCGAGTTTGTGCTGACAGACTTCTCTACTATGGAACCAGAATCCAACACTCTTAAAGATAAAGTTTCCGAAAGGGGGTTTCCGCAGCAATGCCATAGAAGAAACATTTTGGGTTCCCCAATAACCTTTAAGTGGTGAGTTCTTAAAATAACATTTTTTTTCTTAATGTGAAGAGCATTTTAATACAAAGAGCTCTTTTCCACAGTAAATAACCTTTTGTGTAATGGAAAGGTGCCATGGATGTTAAATGTTCTTCATGGAACTATCAATGCCAATAAAGAACCTTTATTTTTTTTAGAGTGAACCCAAATTAAATGTCATAGCCTGGTTTCAAGTGTATGTAGGTTAATTTTAAGGCTTTTTGAAGCTGTGCTATTCTAGTTAAAGAGTCCCTGTTTCAAATGAACAGCACACAAACATCAATATCTGTCTTTGTGACCTGATGTCCTACTCGCTAAACTCCCTCCAAGACACTAAGCTCTTTATCTTTCATCTTTCCACACATACACTTTAAATCTGCAGATCAAGAACAGTCATACATCATTTGTTGAGGATCACACATATCATATTTTGGCATGGCCTTATACAGACATATGGGGGTAGAGAGTGAGAGTCAGGTAGCTCTGAAAATGAGAAGACCCCCTCCATCTGGTCACAAACACAGGGGATCATGATCATCGTAGGGTTACACCATTCTCACAGTCACTCAACACCACTATCCCAGCCACCTACACA